CATTCTTTAGGTTCCCAGTTAAACTTCAATACCACTTTATGGTAACTTTTATCATGCCAAGCAATATAATCTCCCTCCTTTTAAATTTCTAAGGCAATGTCTGTCTTCTGTGCGCTGCTGGTACTTACTTAGTCTTCATTAGGCAATAGTGCCATAGCCATGGTAAAAGAATACAGCATACATTACTTCCCCAGACTAAGCTCATCAAGATATTCCCAGTGAAAACTATCTAGACTTTGAAGGCAACAGACCTAGGTATGAATCTTAGCTATTACTAGCTTTGTTATCTGAGTCTACTTCATCATCTGTAAATAGGGATATTGCTACCTATTTTATGAGGATACAGCAAGGCTTACATAATAGACACCTAAATAAACATATAACTATAAACTGTGTAACTGTTATAAAGTGAAAATATCAGTGCTATGAGAAGGAGCTAGCTGATATGGTCTGCCTGTGTCCCCACCCAAATCTCATCTTGAATTGTAGTTCCCATAATCCCCACATATCGTGGGAGGGTCATAATGGGAGGTGATGAATCATGAGGGTGGATTCCCCCATGCTATTCTAGTGATAGTAAGTTCTCATGAGATCTGATGGCTTGATAAGAGCTTTCCCCTTCACTTGGTTCTTATTCTTCTCTCTCCCTCTGTCTTGTGAAGGACATGTTTACTTTCCCTTCCACCATGGTTATAAGTTTCCTGAGGCTTCCCCAGCACTGTGGAACTGTGAATCAATTAAACCTCTTTCCTTTATAAATTACCCAGTCTCAGGTACATCCTTATAGACGCATGAGAACAGGACTAATAGACTAGCCATCGAAAGAACAGAGGAAAAGAATATTCTAAGAAAGAAGAGAATGAACAGAGAATTAGGAAATAATCTGGTACAGTCAAGGGTCTGAAAAAAGGTCTGTATGGTTAGAGCTTAAGGAGCAAAGGAAAGAGTTGAGGGCATGATGTAAAATCATGTGTGCTGTGCTGTGACAATTACAAAGAACCTTGCAGGCCTATTAAAGGATTTGGATTTTATTGAGTATAATGGGTACTGTTTTAAATGGGGAATGCTTCAACCCAATCTTTGTATTTAAAAAGATCATTTTGGCTGAGGAATAGGGAATGGATTGGAGAAAATTAAGAAAGAAGTTAGGAGACCTGTTAGAGGATATTACAGTAATTCAGTTAACGGATGACAGTGGCTTTGGCTGGACTAGTGGCTGTGAGTGGGATGTTGTGAAAGGGGAGGGAGTCAAGCATGATTCCTGAACTTCTGGCTTAAGCATGAATGGAGATGCCATTTAGTGAAATAGTAAAAAAAAATTAAATGTCATAAATGTTAAATTTGAAACATTATCATTGAGAAATACAGCTGAAGAAATCAAATAGGACACATAAGTGTGGTGTTCAGGAGATGTCTGGAAGTAAGACACACATATGAGAGTAATCAACATAAGGGTCTAACCCTTGAAACAGATGATATCTACTAAACAGTAGCTATCTGAATAATCAAAGAATGCAATTTCACTTTGATACAAAAATGGGTTCATCTATACTAGAATGGGTGAAAGTATTGAATACAATTAAAGAAAAAGAGTATCATCTGGAAAGGGTCATACAACAGAAAAGTACAGAAATCACAAAAAGAAGCAAAAAAGAAAGGATAAAGAAGGAAAGACCAAACAATAGAAGCACATTATAAGATCATCTGGGAGGGAAATTCCTGGGCCCATTCAATTACTAACCTAGGATAACAGTAGCCCATCCTTGTTAACTATCAGTGGAAAGTATATTTAGTGCATATGTGGATAAATTAAGCTTATTTAAGGGTCACTAACTATTAAAATGATAAAAATTAATATATATATTTTTTTGAGACAGGGTCTCCCCAGGCTGGAGTGCAGTGGTATGATCACAGCTTACTGCAGGCCTGATTTCCTGGTCTCAAGTGATCCTCCTGCCACAGCTTCCTGTGTAGCTGGGATCACAGGAATGTTCCACCATGCCTGGATAATTTTTAATTTTTTTGTAGAGATGGGGTCTCACTTTGTTGTTCAGGGTGGTGCTCAAGTCCGGAGCTCAAGCAATCCTCCTGCCTCAGCCTCCCAAAGTGCTGGGATTACAAGTGAATTAACTATTTTTGTTCTGTTCTATGCTCACTAAGCATTAGAGTAGTTTTTCCTTTCCTATCAACCAATTTTCACTCCTGTATCATGACTCGATATTTTTGCCTGGGTCCCCCAAAATTCCTTCTTAACATTAACAAGAATATGTCTGAATTTTGGCCATTCTGAGTCAATTTTCCCTGTATTATGCTGTACTCTTTTAATATAAAAATTGATATCTTTTTACTTCAAGAAAGTTTTCTTGAATTGATTGAATTATAAGTTAAGACAGTCATTCTTTTCCTTAAAACTATTTTTCAGAAAGTCTAATTATATATATATAGTATGGCAAGTAATTACCTATATTCTATTGCTAACATTTTCTTTCTAGTCTTCTCAGACTCACTATTTCTGTTTCATTTTGTTTACTTTTTCTATTGTATCTTCTAACGTCTCCTGCTGAGTTTTCTGCAGTGACTCCGTGTTAGTGGTCTAATTTCACTAACCTGTTTGCTTTCTTCTCTCCTAGGTTCCACCAGCTCAAAGTTAATTTCTTTTGGTTATTGACTCATCTTTTCCTATAGTTCTTATATTTCTACTTTGTGGTCTTCTTTCAAAGTGAATGCATAAACTGCAAAACATTAAGGTTAAATTTCCATCTGATTTGTGTTGATGTTTTTGTGTTGTGTGTACATGTAGCCAATCTGTTACTAAGCTTTGATGCTTTTCCCCACCTTTTTATCTTTGTATGAATACAAGGCAACTTTTAAATTACTTATTACTGGGGTTGGGCACAGTGGCTCATGCCTGTAATCCCAGCACTTTGGGAGGCCAAAGCAGGCAGATCACCTGAGGTCAGGAGACTAGCCTGGCCAACATGATGAAGCCCTGTCTCTATTCAAAATACAAAAATAAGCCGGGCATGGTGGCAGGTGCCTGTAATCCCAGCTACTCAGGAGGTTGAGGCAGGAGAATCACTTGAACCTGGGAGGTGGAGGTTACAGTGAGCTGACATCGTGCCACTGCACTCCAGCCTGGGCGACAGAGTGAAACTCCATCTCAAAAAAAAAAAAAAAAAAAAAAAAAAAAAAAAAAAAAATTACTGATTACTTTGGTAGATTTTGTTAGACTAGCTATTTCCAGAAAGTCTAGGGATGCAGGAAAGATGGATGCACAGGAAATTTTTACAGATTTTAAAACCCAAATACTGTCACATTATCTCACCTAAAGAGCCAGGCTGCTTCATCCAAATATGAGTTCTCTGCTTTCCTAAACCAAACCACATGAGCGGCTTCTGCTCCAGCCTGCTCACCCCACTTCCCATGAGGCTTGCAATAAAAAACAAAGGCTCATGTTTTTATACTTCAGAAATGAGTCCCTCGCCTTTAAGAGATGCAATTTTATACCATATCCTAAAATTCTGCCACCAGAAAATATCCTTAATATTCCATATTTTAACTCTTCGCCTCTTCCAATGTGGCTTCTGCAAGATCGCAGCTGCTTAAGGAGTCTTTACCTGTACTTGGTTGTCCAAGTATTATACCTATCTTCTTAGTTTTAGTTAATATGAACTGAAGTTGTATGGGTAGAAGTATGTGTGTATGTTTCATTTTCCTTACTGCTTTTGTGTGTTTTCTGGGGAAGTTAAGGAGCAGATATTACGTTACAGTTAATTATATCTAAAAAGTTTAAATTCCTTATAAACATATAAATGAGAGGGTGTCTATAATACTAAAGAACCAGTGACTGTAACTTGGCTTCCATATAGTGTACCCACTGGATGGGAGTGTGTTGGCCAGGAGATAAAAGTATGTGGGGTCCCACTGGCAGATTTGTTTCTCACAAAAATTAATGAATTGACATTCTAACTTCACATGTTAGTCCCTATTTGTTTGGTTAATGTGAATAAATATCTGTAATTTACTCCCAATTAAACAATTTTCCCTTGTTAATTACTAAGCTTAAAAGGCTAAGGTTTTACTAGACTGATAGAAACTCCTATACTTAAGAAATATCAAGCAATGCTCAGCATGCTACTTTGATCAGCTGAAAGACATACTAGATTAAAAAAAAAATTCTGCTCCAAAAAAGAATAATAAATGTAATTAGTTGCTAAATTACAGAATTATTCATTTAGCTCCTTTACTTACATCATTTTTTCCTTCTTCACCATGTTGTTTATGAGCATCGACAAATATGCTATGAATTCTTTTGGGTATTTAAGCTTTTTAAATCCCACTGAGGTTTGACTGCAGATGTGGTTATGTTGATGTACACTAGAGTCTTACATATATTTAATATGGCATGATCTCAAATCTCCATTCCCACCTTTTTCCCCTAGGAACTTAATAAGGTCACATCAATGATACTTTACTACCTAGATACACATTATACCCCAAACTTGGCATTCTTCTCTTTATTTTAAATAGTAGTAACAGCTATTAGAAACATGCTGTAAATCTTGATATTAATAATTATAACTTAATTCAAAAGCTAGAAAAAAGCTGGGTGACCTAAATTTTTTTGAGGCATTATTATTTTACTGGGCATTATCTCTGCTTAATGGTTTTTATTATTTTTTTTCAGATCAATAAAGTAGTAAAAAGGACATTAAAAGGTATGACGATTTCAGTTACAGAACAAATTAAAAAAATAAACAGTTAAATTAACCCACATAATGGTGCAATGCTCAAAGGAACTTGTGGATACCAGTTCCCACATCATTAAAAAATACTTTCCATCTGGAAAAGGAACTAGGTTCAGACTAAACAAGTACTAGATTAACAAATTGGAAAAAAGTACAAAAAAGGAAGTTAAGCTTGGAAGTTAAACAATATTTAAGAGGAAAAATTTTAAAAACTAAAATAAGAGTAACTATAGACAATAAGAATTTTATTACCTTCAGGTCGATATTGTGCAACAATTGTGACAGCTTGGCCAGCATTTTTCAATGCAGCTGCTGCCTGCTCATGACTGGCAGCTCTGAGATCAACACTGTTTACCTGTAAATGGAACCAAATCTTAATTTGGGAGAAAATAATCACTTTGATTAGAAATTACGATAGTCTATTCTTGAGTAGGCATATATTAAAAAATTAGTTGCAATAACTTTACCACCAAAATGTTTCTTTCTTTTTCTGATTTATTAAAAATATACTGTATAGTAAAACAAAATATTACCATTCATACCACTAAAATGTTTCTTATTCTGATTTATTAAAAATATACTGTATAGTAAAACAAAATATTATCATTCAAAGCAATTTTATTTACTAAAACCACTTTGCTTAGTTAAGTGAGCAAAGTCAAAACACTTCCCTTCAGAAAGCTGGATATCAATCCATCAAAAAAAGTACCTTAATTTGAGAACCTGAAAAATCAAGTGGCACCATTTTGCACACTTTGTTTTACTAGAGACTCAAGCAATGAGAGGGAAATTCATTTTGCTTGTAGCATCCACCCACCTCCTGCCACATTCTCATGCCTATTGCTCAACACAGTTCCAATTATTTTTCTTCCTGTATAAACTAAAGCTTCCATTCTTCCAGTATAATAGGAAAGCTATTATTTAGAAATATTAAAATAGCTCAGATTGCAAGGACTGATTTGATTAGAATGTTAATTAAATGAACCAGGAATTTTTTTTTTTTTTTTGAATAAAGAGTGCTTCCTTGGGTGAAGTAATTATCCAATTCTACCAGTAGGTGACCAATCCTACTCCAGAAGAAGGGGCAACTTAATTCTTGTTTCTGCAAGGTTGCCAATACTTTGTTCGTACACACACACACACACACACACACACACACACACACACTGTGTGTGTGTGTGTGTGTGTGTGTGTGTGTGTGTTGTGTATACGGTACATTATCTTAAGAGATTGTTCCTTTTTCACAATAAGACAAACTTAAGAGAACATTAATGGAAGCATTATACTTGAATGTAATAAACTCTAAATACTGAATTAAAAAAAAGTTGAGAACCACCAATGAATAGAATACAGCCATGTTCAGGACCTTCACTGAAAATTTTTGGAAAGGAACGATCATCATGCAATTTTTATATAAAAACTTGTTTTGCTGAGATCTAATCTAAAATCTGTTAAAGATCACATATCACTTTTAAAAAATTTGACTATGAGCCCAGAAATTCCTGGGATCATAAATATACATAAAGAACATTTTAACCACATAAAGATCTGGTGTTTTATATTATCTAAAACGAAACCATTATGCAACTAAATTAAAATACATGCCCCTTGAGGCTGAGCACGGTGGCTTACACCTGTTATCCCAGCACTTTGGGAAGCTGAGATGGGTGGGTCACTTGACGTCAGGAGTTTGATACCAGCCTGACCAACATGGTGAACACCCGTTCTACTAAAAACACAGAAATTAGCCAGGTGTGCCTGTAGTCCCAGCTACTCAGGAGGCTGAGCCGCAATAATCACTTGAACCCAGGAGGCAGAGGTTACAGTGAGCTGAGATTGCACCACTGCCAGCCTGGGTGACGGAGAGAGACTCTGTCTCAAACCAGCATCACCACCAACACTGCCCCCATCCCGAACCCTTGAATGAAAACCAAGATCTGAAAACCCTAATCTAAACAAATGTAACAATGTGGTAATTAGATAATATCTCTTGCTGATGATGGCCACACAGAACTCAATACAATGTATAAATAGTTCTACTTAGTGCATAAAGAAAATCCTCCTAGTTCCTGGGAGAACAAACCAGGCAAGAAATATAAGGAAAAATAAATTTTCAGATTATTGTAGAAAAGATGAAAAATGTTAATGAATTATTTTTGTGCACCAAACCCGCTTAAGAGTGTAATTTGTTGAACGAAACTACTTATTAAAGACTTTCCACGCTATCATTAACATTTCAATTGAAGATACATTATTAAGGATATTTTAGAAGAAATTCCAGTACTGAGAGACCTATTTGTATAAATAGCCGTATAGTCATTTTTTTTCATTTGCACCAACATTTTTGAAAATTAAGAAATAATTCACATACCATAGAATTCACATTTTTAAAGCGTATAGTTTAGTGGTTTTTAGTACATTCGCAAGGTTGTGCAACCATCATTACCACCTAATTCCAAAATATTTTCATCACCCCAGAAAGAAACTCTGTGTCCACTGACAGTCACTCCTGTGTCTCCTCTTCATCCTTGGTAACTATGAATCTACTTTCTGACCCTACGAATTTACCTATTCCATATATTTCAAATAAATGGGATATATAATATGCGGTCATCTGTGCTTGGCTTCTTTCGCTTAACATATTTTCAGGGTTCATCCTTGGAGCATATATCAGTACTGCATTCCTTATTATGGCTAAATAATGCTCCACTACAATCCATTAAAAATGGATATACACTTTTGTTTATCCACTTCCTTAAATTTATACTTATTTTATTCTTTTTGATACTATTATAAATGTTTTCTTTCTCTATCCTGTAACTTTACTGAAATTATTACCTTGATAGTCTTTAAGATTTTCTCTAAACAAGAATTGTCATCTGCAAATAGTTTTCTTGCTTTTTATTCTGGTAGCCTTTTTTTCTTTTAAATCTTGACTAATTCCTAGAACCTCCAGGACAATGTTGAATAGAACTGTAGGAAGAGCAGAGACCATTGTCTTGTTCCTGATTTTAAAGGGAAAGCTTTCAGTCTCTCACCATTTAGTATGATGTCAGCTATCAGGTTTCTGGAGATGCTCTTTATCATGAAGTTTGCTTTTATTCCTAGTTTATTCAGTGTTTTTATAATGAAAACCTTCTGGTTTATGACAATTGCTTTTTCTGTGTCTACTGAGATATCATGTGCTTTATGTCCTTTATTAAGATGGTGTTTTACTTTGATTGGTAAGTATGTTTCTATGTTAAATAACATAGAAACATTTTTCTATGTTGAATTAACCATGCATTCCTTAAATAAATTCCATTTGGTTATGGAATCTCATCCCCTTTCATGCTGCTGGATTCCGGTTGTTATTTTGTTGCTTTTTATATCTATATTCATATGGGATATTGATTTGTAATTTTTTCTTCTTGTGATATCTTTGGTTCAGTATAAGGATAATATTGGCCACATAGAATGAGCTGAAAAGCATTCCTCATGCTTGTTCCTTTTTGGGGAAGAGTTTGTGAATGACTGGTGCTAATTCTTTAAATGTTTGGCAGAATGTATTAGTGCAGCTATCTGGTCTGGGATTTTTGTGTTTTGGAAGTTTTTGATTACTAATTCAATATCCTTACTTGTTATAAACTTTTAAAAATTTTCTATTCTTGAGTTAGTTTCGACAGCTATGTCTTTCTAGAAATGTATTGGTAATTATAGAGTATATAACTATAAAATACACATATGACTATATAATGATATATATATTATAGATGTCTTTTGCCTTTAGTAATATTTTTTTCTTAAAGTATACTTGATATTAGTATAGCCACACTAGGTGTCTTTCGGCTACTTTTGTGTAATGTATCTTTTCCACTCTTTTACTTTCAAACTTTTTATGTCTTTGAGTATAAAGTGTCTCTCTTGTAGACCCTGTATAGTTGGATTCTGTTTTTTAATCTACCCTATCAACGTTTTTGCCTTTTAACTGGAGTGCTTAATCCATTTATATTTAACATAATTACTGATAATGTGGAATTTACTTCAATTAGCTGTGTTCTATGTCTTGTGTTTTCTTTTTCTATTCCTAAATGACTACATTATTTTTGTATTACATAGATATTTCCTAGTGTATCATTTTAATTCCCATGTCATTTCTTTTACTACATATACTTTTTAGTAATTTTCTTAGTGGTTATCTTGGATTACAAGTAAAAATTTAAAGCCAGATGGGTGGTGGCTCTCGACTATAATCCCAGTGACTCAGGTGGCTCAGGCAAGAGGACTGAAGCAGGAGCATCACTTGAGTACAACAGTTTGAGGCCTGGCTGGGCAACACAGTGAGACCCTCATCTCTAAAAAAATACAGAAAAAAATTTAGCTGGGTGTGGTGGTGCATACCTGCAGTCCTAGCTACTCAGGAGGCTGATGCAGCAGGACTGCCTGAGTGAATGAGTTTGAGGCTGCAGTGAGCTATGACTGTACCACTGCACTCCAGCGTGGGTGACACAGTGAGATGCTACCTCTAAAAATAAACAAACATTTTATACAAACCTAGTTTCTTTACCCCTTTGTGGTGATGGCGTCATGTTAATTACATCTTTAGAAAATGTGTGCACATCTAATTTGTAATTATTGCTTTATTCAGTTGTTTTTACAATCAGGTTGGAGAAAAAGTTACATATAAAATAATACCTTATGTTGGTTTATATTTACCTATGTAGTTGCCTTCACTTATGCTCTTTATTTCTTCACATAGATTTGAGTTACTCTCTAGTTTTCTTTCATTTTAGTCTGCAGGATTCTCTTTAGTATTTCCTACAGGGCAGGTTTTGAGAGATGAACTCTTTCAGCTTTTGTTTATCTGGAAATATCCTGATTTCTCCTTTATTTTCAAAGACAGTTTTGTTGGATATAGAGTTATAGTCAACAGAGTTTTTTTCTTTCCAGAATTTTGAATATGTTATTTCACTGCTTTCTGACCTCCATGGTTTCTGATGAGAAATCAGCCATTAATCTTATTGAAGATGATGAGTCACTTCTTTTTGCTACTTTCAAGATTCTGCCTTCAGCTTTAGACAGTTTGATTGTAATGTGCCTACATTGTAGATCTCTTTAATTCAACTTGGAGTTCATTGAGCTTCTTGGTTTTCATCAAATTTTAGAAGTTTTGGGCCAGTATTTATTGAAATATTCTTTCTTCCATTCTCTCTCTTTCCCATCTTTTATGCACTCCCATTATGTTGGTACACTTGATAATATCCCATAGGTCTCTGAAGCTGTTATTTTTTTTCACTCTTTTTTGTTACTGTTCAGTTCTTCGGCATCAAAATCTCAATTCACCCATCTTCAAGTTTGCTGATTCTTTCTTCTGCC